AAAGAGCAACTTCCTAATTTTATTTGTAAGATTTGCTGTAGTATCAAGAATTGAAAATATCCTTCTTCTGCAAAGCTATTGAAATACTTTCACCATGAGGAAAATAACCTCGTCTCATATATATAACCAATTCCATATATTTTCCTATTTTTTTCAAGAAGTCAGGTCCATCTGCACATTTAAAAGATGGTGGTAGAAGAACTGCATCCCCTCCCTGGAGATGGAGGGTTCATGTTTGGCACAAGCTTCAGGACTTCTAACATTTAAAAACAAAGCCCGGATAGCGTGAAACATTGCAAAGATGCAAAGAAAAGGCTTTGTGCTAAGTCTAGGGATCAGACTCAATGTTAGCAATTAAAAAGAAAGTTTTAAGAGGAATGTGGTTTCCACTTGCCCCAAGATAAATTTTTTTTCTTCCTATGCAGACGATGCATTAGGGCTCTTCCAAAGGTCTTTGTTGGGGGAGACGTGTGTGAAAGCTGCTGGGAAACAGCTTTTTTCTATTTGATGCTTATAATTCATGCAGCAAGAGGATTTTGCTGGCAGCGTTTTTGGTACAGGAACAATTAAGAATGATAGCTGTAGTGACTCGGAGATTACTGGACAACTTTCATATTTATGTCAGTAGTGCAGAGTGGTCTGAGTCAGTGGTGACCTCGTGCTACTGAAGGGCTGTTGAGGGATCAGAGGGGTGCGCTGGGTCCCAAACTGGTCAAGCTACAGACCCTGCTGTAGGAAAAGCAGGCACAGGTGCTGTTCAGTGTAAGGACTGTGGATACCAAGAGAACTGTGATAAATCACTTGTGTTAGCATCTAATTAAAAATTCATTGTTTGGGTTTTTTTGGTTATGTTCTTGGGGACTGGGAAGGGGCTGAGTTAATTCTCTAGGCTTTGTGTTTTGCAGTAGATCTTGTGTGAAATATAAATGTGACACGGTCTGTTTAAAAGTACTGTGGCAGGTTTTTAGACTGCCTCTTGCTCAGGACAGAACTGCATAGGTAAAAATTTCAGACCATGGTGCCCTTCATTATTGAACCCGTGTCTGTGTCTAACATGTCTGCAGAGAGCCTTTGTTTATTCTCCTTTTGCTGCTTAGATTCATTTACATTCTGTAGAATATCATGCTGCAGTGACACTTTACCTGACTGTAACAAATGCAAGTGGTATTTGTGGTATATTTTTTTTTTACCCTATTTAAAAAATGTAACTCAGAAGCAGTTTGTTGAGGTGAACATTGTTCAGCGCAGTGGTTATCCACAAGCCTGCCTGAAACGCTGGCGAAGGGATGTCATGAACAGCTTACAAATCTTCTCCTTGAAGAAGAAATTGTGTATCAGTTGATCTGTTCCTGTTTTGTCCATCATTACTGTGTAGGCAAGGAAAGGCCATAGGTTATGTCCTTCTGAATTACAGAGTAGAAACCATCAGCGTAGTAAAACAAGATGTTGCTGTCAGTGGTGTCTGCAGCCTGAGGAACAACGAACGGCGTGCGCGGCTGTGGGCGAGAGGTGTTCAGGTGAAGACTTGCACCTCTCACGTGTGTCTGCAGTTGTGTGTTTTTACAAAGTTAAGATCGTGCTCAAAACCTTGAGTAAAAATACAACTGTTAATCAAATAGTTGAAAGTTAACTTTCTGCACATACAACACGTTGCTCGAACAGTTTCGCTGTGCTGCCGCCTTTCCCTGGTGATAGATGTGTTTGACCAACCTTAGAACCAGTATTTTATATCAGTCTTTACATTTGAAATGAGATTCCTTCCTCCTTGTGTCTTAGCTATTTGATCACTGTGAACAAAAATAGATTGCTTTTGCAAAGACACTTAGGACTTCTTATAACAGAAGGATTGCTGAGGAGAAGTGAGGAGAGGAATGGGATTGAGCCCGTGGCTAAACCCAGATCTAATTGCAGCTGTTCAGCGCTGAAACTTTACCCTGAGTAGCTGTCTGTCATGAGATGCTCTGTCCTTGTCCTTCTTTCCGTATTTTGCTTCTGGCATTTCTCAGAGAGAATAATGTCAGTATCCCAGGAGTCTGCTACTGCAGAAACAGATATACTAAGAGTTTAAAAACTTCATTTCTGGGAGTAAGTCTGTCTGTGGCGTTGACTTACAGTGAAATGCCACACAGCAAAGTGAAATGGAGGCCATCATCTTTTAAACAGGTTTGGGTTTTTGGGGTCTTTTTTGTTTGCTTGTTTTTTTTCCTCCCATCTAAAGATGCATGTGCAAGTGGAAGGACAAGCTGAGTAACAGCCCAGCCTAAGTCCCAGGGCTCGTGTTATTGGGGTTCTGAAGGACAGTGGGAGTGTAGGGCCAGGCATCCTCTGCCCCTGCCCCTGTGCAGGCGCTTGGCTCTCCCTGGTAATTGCACTCCTGTCAGTCTCTCATCAGCTCATCTGTGCTGAGTGGTCACGTTCTGGACCTTTTGCTAATGTTGCCCTTTGGCTTCCCTGCCTCTTTTAGTAGCAGCATGGCATTCACAGCCGTGCTGATGTTATTCCAGATGAAAACTCTGTCATTAGTTCATCCTCATCAACACACAGCATTGCGCACAGGATGTGTTTCTGTGCCCTTAGATTTTTTGCACTGAATCAACTTGCCTCCCTTCCTTCTCCCACCATCCCCATTCTGTTTAACCTGTGATCAGTCTCCTTCAGTGGCTTTGTTCTGCATCATGCATCTGCACAGGTAACCCACTTCCCAATTTGTTCATGTTAATATGTATTGTAGGCTTTTGCCCACTCCAGATGTAGCTGTGCTCTAAGCATTTTCTATACTGGTAGCCATCTGTCTTGGCAAGCAGTTGCTTACAGTTAGCAGAAAGACTTTGTGTGTTGGTGTCCACAGAGGATGCCCTACGATGCTAGATCATGTTCAAGAACATTCATAGGGCAGTTTTTTCTTCTTACTGCAACGTTCTTGGGGTCTGGAGAGACTGTAGCTGTAAATCTGCTCTGGTGATTTGTTTCTGGCTGTAAGCAGCACCGAGCACTTGGAGCATTCTCTATCATCCTCCCAAAAGGTGTCCATGGAAGACTGCAGCCTCAGGATGATTTCTGACACTTAATAGTTGGCTTCAGCCTTGAGCAAGGTGGTTTAGATCCGTTCCAAAGCTCTAGTTCAGTATTCTAGTGCTGGGTCCTCTGTGAGAGCTGACAGCCATTTGATCCGATGTAGCTGCTCAGTATATCTGTCCAGTACTGGAATTAATGTTTTCTTCTTTTTTGCATTTTTATTTGACTGTTCAATTCCCTGGACTGTGAGGAAGGGGACTGTTGAATAATTACCTGCTCCATAATAAATTAGTGTGAAAAGGCAACCGGTGCAATGCATCAACTTAAACTGCTGTCTGGTAAAGTTGCATTAATGTGTATAAATAATGTATATCTTTGTGGAGGAAGTGCTCTGTCTTTCTAATGAACAGTTGGCTGATCGGAGAGGCTGAAAGACTGTATACCCTTGCTAAAAAGGTTTTGTTTTGCTTGTGCCTAGATTATTAAAGCGGCTTGGTGATCCTGTAACTGCAACTAGGAAATATCTTATTTTGCAGAATATGCTATAGAATTTCAAAAGACTTTGTGAGAAATCAGCTAACAGATGACTTCGTGGGGGATTTGGGGGGCTTGGGGACTCTCTTCCACCTCAGGAAGAAGGATCAGAATTTCCTTATTTTAGTATTTACATACATTTTAAGGACTATACAACTATACACTATATATAAACTATACAACTGCCATTAAACAGCCTGTTATTCAGTTGTTGCCTTATAATAGGCGTTTCACTGTGTTCTGGTTCAGAAGTGGCTTGAAGAATAACCATGATAGCTGACTGATTAACAGCTAAACCAGGACAGCAGCATTGTTTGCATTTAACTGAAGTAAAGATAAGTCACTCAGTTATGATATGTATTGAAAGTCTAAAAACTGACACTTCTTTGTTCACAAAAAAACCCCAAATTGTGTTCTGAGTTTCCACAGCAGGTGGTCACTGAAAGCAAGTGCTGCAATTAGTCATTCCCATCCTGCTGCAGTGGCTGTAAAACTGTGTCTGGGAGTTGCTTGGTCTTGGGTGGGAAAAGAACTGGTGCTTAGGTGAACATTTGAAGCACTTCCAGTGTCTGTAGTTTTTAACATTATCCTAAAATCCTGTCTGTTCCACAAGTCATAATATTATAATATTATGTAAAGGGTGTAGCTATGGACAATGTAGACTGTCCTAGGCCACATTTGGCATCTCTGATCACAGAATAAAACTGTTCTGTGCCACCTCTCAGCAAATTGGCATGCACAGGAGAACCAATTAAAGAAAGGGCAGGCAAACAGGGAATTAAGTGAAGGGAAGCTTGTCCAGACTGGCCTGGCATCTTCATGTGTACAGTAAAATACAAATTGTACTTGCATATTATATCAGTATGAGGCTGACCCAAAGTGACCTGTTGTGTGTGTTCTGGGATTTCTTAGGGGAATCTGAATTCCTCACCATGATTGAGGTTCAGCCTGATGGTACATAAATGGTTTGGTTTGGTTTGGGGTTTGGTTTTTTTTTTTTTTTTCAAATGCAACTTTTGTCAGTGATTTTTTTTTTCCTCGTGTTCCCTTCTGTCTCCCTTTGTCATTTAGCAGAAGGAAGTTTAGTTGCAAGGAAAGGGGAGGGGGAGAGAACTTTGCTTCTGTTCCATCTCAATACAGTATTCCTGTTTTAAGCCCGCAAAATGAAGTGTTAGAAAAACAACTCAATGAGGGAAATATTTCACCAGTTGTTTTATACACTCACGCTGTCACCTAACAGAGCATGTAATATATCTGTGAAAAGAGCAAAAGCAGCCCGGTATCCTGAGGCTCATGCCAGTCTCATGGAGAGCAGCAGTCTGGAGCAGAATTCTTCCACCATCTCCTACTGGGAGATGCATTGTGACCATCAGATGGGCAGCGGCATCCCTGTAGGTGTGTGGATGGTGGCTGTACTGATGCCAATGTCTGTTCTTTTGTCTCCCTGCTAGCTAAAGACCTGGAGTGTCGATGAACTTCAGAGGAGGCTCTCAGCCCTGGACCCCATGATGGAGCAGGAGATTGAAGAAATCCGCCAGAAGTACCAGTCAAAGCGGCAGCCCATCCTCGATGCCATTGAAGCCAAGAAGCGGCGGCAGCAGAACTTTTGAGCCACCAGTAGAATGTTCTTCCAGCCTCAAACAATCAGCTCCTTGCTTTTATGACTACTAAACAGATTGATTTCTATTGAAATACGCTAGCAAAATAGAGGGCAATACTTCT